TATATATATATATAATTAAATATATATATATCGTAAGGTACCGGATGTGACACACAGTGAAAGCTGTAAGGGAAAATACATTGCACACAACGGGGTGCATATAATTCCAGGTAAGAAGGGAAATATAATAACGAAGAAGCGACCGCTCCACAGTGTGGAAAGAAAGACACATGGTCGTATTAAACACAAAAATTCCCCTCCCCCCTCTCTCCCACCACAAACAAACAAACAAAAAGAAAAATACAACTCCCACTCCCACTCTCAGTTCCGTTTGTACTCCCATGCGGCTCTACAATGCAATAATACACACATGCACACAAGGCATGGATACAGACAAACCACTGACACAGGAAAGAGTCCTTTACCGAGAGAAAATGCGCGAAACAAAAATAAAACAAACAAACAAACAAAAAGAACTCAGATACAACAACAACAACAACAACAAGATAAGAGAAATTCCATCAACAGAGAAGCCCATCTACCTACCTCCATACATGTATATAAGCGGTGCATACAAAACAAAAACAAAATGAAAGCGTAGCGCCCACCCCTCCCCTCCCCCACCAGAGAGAGCAGAAGCCGAAAGCAGATGCTTCACGTCTTGGACACCGAGCAGCTCCCAAAGGTCGGCATCTCAAAGGTACAGTGACCAACCAAAAGCGGCGCACCCGACACCTGCCGCCGCAGACAGCTGGTGCTCATCAATGTTTCACTGCAGCTGTGCGCATCCCACGGCGTCGCACGGCCGCTGCGCAACAACATCTCTACCGCCCCGCTTGAGCACGTCAGGGCGTCGGCGGGGTGCGGCGACCACACGCAGTCGCACACCTCCAGCAGCCCCCCTTCCTCTTTGTGCGGAAGGCGACGGGCACGATCGTGGCGGCGCGGCGTCAGCATAAAGCCAACGTCGCGGAGACGGCTGTATTCGCGCCGGTGCATCCAGCTCGGCAGGGGGCTGGAAGAGCGCCGCAGCGACGACATCACTTCGCAGAGGGCAGCGGAGGACGTCGAGGGGGCGGCTGCGGCGGCACCAAGGCTACCCCAGGGCCGCTCGTTGAAGTGGTAGGGAATGCCAAAGCGCAGGTGCCCGCCCCCGCCGAAGCCCTCTTCAGTGTAATCGTCGATGCCTTTGCAGTGGCTGTCGCCGAAGTTTCTGCCTTTCATGTCGTTGTTGGTGTCGCTGTCTCCGCCAAGATCCTTCTCACGGAGAGCGCCATGCATGTTTGGGGACTGCATTGCATCCGACTGGATCGTGAAGTTCAGCGGGCTGCTTACCAACACCGCCGGCTCCGGCAGCGGCAGCGAGACCCTCGCCGCATCCATCAGCTGCTCGGGGCGCAGCCGCATCTCCACCGGCACATCAACGACGTGAAAGAGCGCGTCCATTAATACATCCTGTGGCATACCGGCGTTGGTGAGTGGTGTCTGTGGCCGTACCACTGATCCTGCCTTCCTCGTCACACTCGATGCGCTTCGCTGACTGCTAGAGCTAATGCTGAGGCTAGTGTCGAGGCAGGTGTTTGGCAGGCAGATGTAGCTGAGACTCAAGCTTCGCTCGATGGTGTGGGGGCATGACCGCTCGCCGCCAACGTTGCATGACGACGACCGCGTGCGTGGCGAACGCAATGACGGTCTACCTTGCGGCCCATCGAGGACTCCACTCGCGAATGCTACAGCCCCCATGGACGACACGGAGGAACAGAAGAGCATGTCCGTGGAGGAATCCCCGCTCGGGTCAAACTTCAGCCTACCCACGACGCGGCCAAGGGCAACATTATTTTTGGTGTTTCTGTTGTTTTTATCGCTTTTATTATAGACACCGCACTTTGACTGCGGCATCTGCTGCTCAGTCGGCGATAGTGACATGAGGGGCGCCACCATCACCATTGGCACCCCCGCCTTTTTGCTCATCTTGCCGCTATGGCCCTCACCACGCTTCGGCACGCTGCGCACACAACCGATATTGTTGCCTTTCCTTCTCTCCCCCTGCTCCTCGCCCTTCTTGTCTCTACACTGCCACAGTGACGTCTGCACCTGGCTTTTGTGACTGGTGCTACTTCTGTGTACACGTACGGCATCTGCGGTGTTGCGGCGCGGCTTCATCTCCGTGTTGATGCCGTCCAACCTCCCCCCTGCATCGCGCAGCGCCTCCTCCGGGGCAGGTTCGGGCCACTTAGGCTTGCGGTCGGGCGTCTCCTGCTGCGACGTCAGAAGCTGCACCTCTCGGTGCCTGTGATTGGAGGACAGTGTACAACACGTGCCTGGCCGCACTATGCGGCTGTCATTGATGCTGGGTTGACCGTCACTGCGCAGCGAGCGGCCGCCGTGTCGGTAAGAGCATTCGTCAGCGGAGTGGTCGCTATGATTTGGGTTGCCGCTGTCCCGCCTGCTGAGGTCCACAGAGACGTTGCTGAGCCGCCTGTGGTTGCCGGGAAACAGCAGCAGCGATGACTCGCTATACGAAAAGCGTGGAAATGACAAGATGGGAGGCGCCGCTCGCGTGATCGTGTCCAGCGACAGGGGCAACTGCGATTCCATCTGCTTGCCGTTATACGCACCCACCACACGCTGCATATCTTCAACTTCATCGTCGGGCTTCTGCTGTCGGGATCCGGAGAGAGAGCAATGAGCGCCTGCAGTTTCGGTAGTCTTTTCTTTTGCGAATAAAGCGCTTGCGATGTGGTCGCGATGTGATCTCTGTGCCTTTGTGCATTCAGTGTTGCTGTAGCTTCTGCTGAATAGACCATTGGCACTGCTATACTGCGGCCCGCTCTTGCTGCCCGCAACGAGCGGCGGCGGTGGCGGCGGTAGTGGCGGCGTTCGGCACAGCGACAGGGACGTGGACAACCTCCCCACCGGCTCCGAATTCTGGCTCGGCCGCTGTGCCGCGCCGCTCCCCACCGACAGCAGCTGCACCTTCCGCTCCTTCACCCGCACATCCGTCGCCGCCGCCACTGCTGTTTCTGCCACTGCTACTTCTGGTAACGGTTTTGGTGGTGGCGGTGGACCGCCCCGCACACACCCGTGCTCCCTCACTTCCGCACCGTCATCGCGCAGGCTGCACCGCGCCATACAGCGACGACCTACAGCGGCTCGCGGATTACGTGCGTGCGCACGCGGTTTGTTGTGGCTGACTTCAGTTACTGAGCGCTGAACTCCAGCCTTTCTGTTGCCTTTCAGGCGTCTTACCTGCTCAACCCCCTTCATTCTGTGCAGCTGTGCGTGGGCGGTCAGCAGTCGTTGGCGGAGTCCTCAAAGACACCCCGTATCGCGTAACGTTGCGTTTTGAATTCCTTTTCTTCTTTTACGCTTGCTAAACCGCTCCTCCCCCCCCCACAACAAAACAAAGCAAATATACTGTCTGCTACTGCTGTCGACTTTTTCGATGTATACCTTCACCCCGTTCTACGCAACTAGTGAAAACAAACGCGCGCCAGAGGGACAACAAAGAAGGAAAGAGAGAGTGGTGCAAATCAAACACCCCAGACCAGCCCCTGCAGTGACAGTGATCATAACACACATAACGCACGAACTCGTATGCCAGCCTCCTCTCTCTCTCTCTNTCTCACACACACACAGAGATAACCACTCCGGCTGCCTGCTTAGTGTGCGCCAGGCCCTGCAGCGCCGACGGGGTAGAAGACCCCTCGCAGCAGCCGCTGGCCCATAATCGTCAGCGTGCGTGAGCGCATGCCCACCGCAGTCAGCCGCGCGTCCACAGCCGCCACAGCACGGCGCAGGCCCGCATGCTCGGACGGCGCCTTCTCCACAGAAGCGGGGTCGTGGGCGTAGCGCTGCACTCGAGCGCACACGACTTGCAGAGCGGCGGCGATTCGACGCAGGTGCAAGTCATCACACGCACTCTCACTGTCGTTGCTGTGCGACGATGCCTCGTGCGGTGTGTCACACGCTCCCTCGTTGCCGCTTTCGTCACCATCTCCCACCGCCTCAAACTGCTGCTGCTGCTGCTCCGCATCCCTCGGTGTTGGTCCAGCTGCTGCAGCACGGGCACGAAGTTGCCGGAGCGCGTCGCTTTGCAGCAGACGGCGCGCCAACGCCCTGGCTGCTATTGCCTTGCCGTTGAGTGGCTCTTGTGGCTTCTGCCGCTCCTCCTGTTGGTGTGTACATGGCTCTTGTTGCGCCGCAGGCGTGTCATCGCTGCTGCTCGTTGTGGTCAAGCAGTGTGAGGCGATGCACAGTGCCGAATCTTTCCCGACTGCTGATGTGCTCCGTCGGTGCGACAACGACGGCTTCCTTTTACCGTCACTGCTCCTGCCATCACCAGCAGCAGACGCTGCAGCGTTCGCCGCCCCGAGTTGAATGACGCCACGCCCAACACGCCGCATCTCGCCGGCCAAATCGAACAGCACGCCAATCTCCACCAGTACGGCTTCAGCAGGCGTGGCACACTTCTTTCCATCATCATCTTTGCTGCTGCCTTCCCCGTCATGCAGCAGGAGGATGTACACCTTCAGCACAATAAGTTGCACCCAGCGCGACAGGTGCGTCAAAATAAACGCAAACGCATTCAACGTCGTCTTCGGAGGTGGCACAAACGCCACAGTGGGGAGAACTGTGAAGTGGGAGGTGGCGCCTATACATGCTTCGTTATTTTCTTCACTGCACGCTTCTCCCACACTTTGCCCTTGCTGCTGCTGCTGCTGCTGTTCCGCCTCACCGCACTGCGTGAATGCCTGTGGAAAGAGCGGTGGGTCGTGCGTGGGGCGTCGCCGCTGCGCTTCTGCTGCCAGCGTCTGCAGCAGCGTGTCGGTGTAGAGCAGCGTGCATGGGTAATCCCGCGCCACAGCGCTCACCATCGCCGCGCGGTGGAGGGCAATACTGAATTCATAGAGAAGGGTGCGCGGGTACACCTCCAACGCACACTGCAGTGGCCCGCCTGACACCGAACCGACGCTTTTGTCTGCGTCTGGGAATGGCAGCGATGAGGATGACTGCTGCTGCTGCTGCTTGCCTTCCTTCAGTTGGTTCAGCGCCCCTCCCACACGTCCCCAGAGACTTTTGGTCACTGTCTTCGCAGCGGAGGCGTGCTCGCTGAGTGATGCCGCGAAGGACCCCTTCAGCACACCCTTGCCACTCTTGCTGCCGTCCTCAACGGCACCACCATCGCTGGGGTTGGAGAGCAACTGCGTCCGCGTTGGTGTGTGCTCCTCCTGCACAAGAATAACGGCGGCGAGCTCAAAGTAATTCGCCGCCAGCTCGAGGCACTGAAACTCCTCGAGGACAGAGCCGATCCGCATCAGCATCGCCCACGCCCGCGACAGATAGGCGTTGGGCATCTTCGGTGCGTCGCCCAGCAGATGCCGATCGCACTGCCGTGTAGCACCACCGCCACTACTCTTGTTGCTGTTGGCTGCGTCTGAGACGAGAGCGGCGGCATGTTGCGGCATCGGCGAGTCCCGCAGGTTCGGCACCTCACGCAGCAGCACCGCACACGCCATGGCACCGCACAGCACGCCGTTCGCCAGCGCGTCATCGCTCGTTGGGAAGTTCANGTTGGGAAGTTCAGCAGCCGCCGCTCCCGCTCGACGCGGAACCACAACGTGGAGGCGTCGTCGTACGCCTGCGCCTCGCCGAGCACGTCAGACGCTTCGCGGAAGAGCACTGCTTGATGCATCAGCGCTTGCGCCTCCACCACCCGCGCAGACGGCGACTCGCTGAAGCGGCACTGGTGCCGCAGCCGCCGCAGCAGCTCAGACATGTCCCGCTGCGCCTCCGCGAGGGCGCTGCGCCGGCTCTCCGGTGTTTCGCGGCTGCGCGCAAGGCGGCCGATCTTGGAGAGGCGTTCGTGCAGCTCGCCGTAGGAGAAGCGACTGCTGGCGTCCTCTTCTTCCCCCTCCGGCATCACGGCACGTGTCTCAGAGTGCTGCACTTATAAATACAAATATATATATATAT